TTCAATAGGTTCAGGACCAATTTGAAAATATTTTGATACAGTTACATGTGGAACAATATATCGTGAACCCTTTTTGACAACATCATGATCAAGAAGATTCCAAAATGATTGACAAAATAAATAATCACAATCACGAAGTGCAGCAGCACACTAAAAGAAAAAATTTGATTAGAATAAACTTCATAGAAGAATTTTTGTTTTTCGATAAAATAAATACTGAACCTTTGCTGCTCGTTGTTCAGGAAATAGCATATATTTTGGTGCAATTGCAACACCAGCTGCTATTGGTATTGATCGATGATATGTCTCATTATAAGCAGCTAAACCAGCTAATAGAAAAGTAAGTGTTTTTCCCACCGAATCAGCAAACTAATATAAAATAAAAAAACAAATTATGAAAAAGTTTCAATATCTACAGAAATAAAATGTGTAAATTCGTGTCCCTTTGTAGATGTTTCATATTTGCCTTTCATTTGACTTTGATTCTTTGTAAAGGTTAGTTTTCTCAATAAGTGCTTTTAGTATTGATATATGTAAAAAGTAATTAGCAAACATCTCTCTAATCATATGAGATAAAAATCCAAAATCTTTAGGATAGACTATATGATGTGAACGGTTTCTTTGATCAAAATTATCGATCCTGTGAACAATTGTCTCTAGCGATGATTTTTCACCGTATTTACAGTAACTTAGCGCGCATATGTAAAATATCATAAAAGGAATTTCATCTATTTATCAGGAAGAGAACCATACACATGTATCCTTTCATAGATAATTGTCGCTTATCGTCTAAGAAAATAATAATAAATCAATATGTACTTCATGAATAATACTCAATTGATTTTACTTATAAAGACTTCTTATTACTATCTTACATGACAGTAGCAATGAGGACATTTTTTGACCTTATAGGGTCAAATTAACCCTTCACTTAGTCATATTCATATCTTAATCATAACAATAGTGATTTCATGATGATTTTTGAATCGACCATCTACTATTATCAGTTATAAGTCTGACTTATGTTATTCCGATGAAAAAAAAAGAACTTTAAAGAAACTTGTATCGAAAATCAAAAATGCAAGATATAATATGGAATTCATATGTTCGAAACTTCATGTTCTTTTTCATTCGAGATATGAAACGGTCATTTTTTTTCCCTTGATTTCAAATGATTTAAAGAAGATTTTTTTTTTTTTTTAACAATTAACGAAAACTTCTTCATTGAATGTTTTTGTAGAAACTAGCTCAGAGAATTTAGCTTAGATAATATTATGCTATCCATCATTTCTAATACTAATCATACTTGAAATCCACATGTTCGACCAAAAAAATTTTCTGAATCACAAGCAACCATTTTAAAATAATCAAGTTCAATATCCATTGGTACTTGAGTAACATCAACCTAAATCAAGAGAAAACATTCTAAGGTGTTTTTTGTTTTTCTTTAATCAAAACATTTTCATTTACATATAACTGTTTTTTCTCTGTATAAGTAATAATTTTAACAGCAAATGCTAATATACGTTGCATGCCAATCAAAGCTTTTGTCCAAGATTCAAGCTCTTGAAATAATCTAGATGCATGCATCAAATTAAATAAAAGACCATCACGTTTTTTATCAATATGTTGTAGAATATTTAATGTACGTAAACATGCATGACCATGTGATACAACTAATGTTCGATATCCATTAGCACGAATCTATTTAATAAGGAAAAAACAAAATTATGATAAATATTTTAAAATAATTTTTTTTTTTTTTTTTACTTCAGAACTATAATCAAAATGATGAAAATTTTCAATAATATATCGAATAAGTGGTAAAGATAATTCTAATGTATGCGAAAGTTGAATAAATAAACGTTCAAATCTTCGACAAATATCATGTTTTTGTTGAGAAAAATAATTAGAATTTATTTCAATTAATTCACGTGTTTGTGTATATGTTTGTTCAAAATTACAATCTATATCAATTGTTTCTGGTGTTGGTATCATTAAATTAGTTGATATTGTTGATAGATTATTTAAATTTGATGAATTATGGATTGCTTGCAATGAATTTATCAAATGTGGATTTGATTGTGAAGTACGAAAGTTAGATAATAAAACTTTTTCATTAGTATCATTTGAATTTTTAAAAAGACTGTTATTGGATTTTTTTGATACAGAAGACACAAGACGACTAGCAGCAGCAGCTATTGGACCTTTTGATCGATGATTAGTTATAGAATTCGTTGTTTTATTTTTAGATGATAATTCTTCATTATCAACGATACTAAATAAATACATTTGATATTTGTTTAATATTTAAAGAAAATAATGAAGATATAATGATAAACTAATATATATTATCAAAGAGAAAAACAAATGGCAAGCCGAAAGAAAATATCATCGTTAGATTATATTGATCATTTGTCATAAATAACTTACTTGTAATGCATTGATGCAGAAAATCTTCTCAACATTGTTTGAGAATATATATATATATACAAAACTTGTAAACAAATAAAAAAGACAGCAAAGGTATTATTTCATATTCAAATGTTTGTTCTCTCTTGCGTATCCATTTGATTATATGACACCTTTTCTTCCTTCAATTTTCTTTTACGCTTATCAAAATAGTTAGCTTTAGGCTGTAATTAAACATTTATTTTCGTATCAAGTATTTAAAAATCAAAATAGGCTTTCATCAATAATTATAAAGAAAAACTAGTTAATTTATCGACAAATAAAGTCACATATTCTCTTTATCAGACCTTTAGCTAGTCATGATATCTTTCAATATTCTTTTCCTTATTCATAAACAAATTATTATTCAGTTTATCATCATTAATATGTTATTAACGTTTTCTTTTCTATATACTAAATTCTCTGACTCATCAAATAGGAAATATAACTACTATGCTTGTCTTTTTTTAAATACTGTTACTAACGATCATTGTATTACTTTCTTGATTCATTGGCAAATAACAAACTTTTCGTACGCTTAACATGCACAATAAAGCAAAAGAATGCATATGAATTAACAATTGCTTCGCGTCGTGATTTTATTCTGTTTTCAAAATAAAATATTAGTCGACGATGTTTTTTGTATTTATTTAATGTTCATAGTTATACAAAAGAAAAAAAGTTATTAGTAATAATAACTAAAAAAATAATATGAAAAGAGAATGACATCATTAGCTAGTGACCTATTGCCTATTTCCTAATAAGATAAATGACGCAAATATGAATCATTTAATATCATGAACAAAAAAAACCTGACTTTTTCTTAATATCTAATGAATTATATTCATAGGTAATATAGCAGCAAATGATAAGAAATAATATTTTAGTAATATGACGTAGTTTGTACAATTTTTCACGTATCTATTGAAGATGATTGAAAAAAATTCTTTTGATCGTTTAGTTATTTTTCAAACAACAAACTTATGATTGTCATATTAAATAAAAAATTAAGCTGGAAACTTATAAAGATCTATATATAATCATAATTATATTGATAATTAATTATCATGTATTAATTCTTAATATTGCAAATACACTTTTACTAGATGGCAGTAGTATATTTGCTATTCATCTCATTCCTTGAGAAAATATTATTATTATGACTGAGTTTTTACTTCTCTCTATTCTTTTCATCATCTTTGATGTGTTAAAATTAGAATATTGTAAAAGCTATTTTATAATATCTATAAAAGACAAACTCTGCATATGAAAGCAAAACTTGAGTATTTCGAAGTACTTACATAAAGAAATAAAAATTATTATCAGATTTCAGGAAGATAGGGACTCAGAAAAATTGAAGTCCTAGTTTTCTAGCACCTAGAATCCTTAAATATAATTTTGTTTACACTAAAAATAATGAAATAATTCTCTAGAAAATGAGACATTTTCGAGTTCTCTGTCACGTATTTTAACTGAGATATAGTCATTTCATCCAGGAACAAAAACAAAATGGTTGTAGAAGCTTCCGTAAGATTGTTATATCTCAGATGAAAAACATCGCAGAGATGGGATCGATTTGGGACTAAAAGCAAATGTACCCAAAAGGTCTTGTGGCATACTGGCATCCTGAACTCAGTACATTCACTAGAGTTTCCATCTCATAATCGAGAAAAAAAAGAATTGCAATAGTTGCGTACACAATGATCGATCAATCTTTATTCTTTTAGCTAGAATAATTTATTGTCAAGAGTAATCTTATATATTGTTCTCTTTGTCAATGCAAATGATACAATAAGAAAAAAAAACAAATAAAAAATATAATTTCACACTTGCGTACAATCACATATTTGTATTCAGTAAAAAAAAACAACAAACAAAAAGAAACTTAATCAGAAAAAGTTGGTACGGAAGTAATATCACCGGTATCATTGGAATATGATTGCTGAACAATATTCTGAAGCATACGTATGATCTCAATATTAAATTTAGCAACATCATCTGATGCAAAACCAAAATCAAGATAACCATGTGGCCATTCATCGACAACAGTTAAATGATGAGGAACATTAAGAGAACGTAATCGACGTGCAAATTCAACATTATCATCAATAAATGGATCTTTAAAATAATAAATCGAAGTGAAAAAAAAAATAATTGAATTTTATAATAATGAATTAACTTACCGCGAGCACATGGCTGAAATAAAACAAAACAAAAAACATGAAAGAAAAAATTATTTTATTCATAGTCGAATGTGTTATTATTGTTAATGTTAGTTTTCTTATTTAATAATGAAAATTTTTCATGTGTATCATATCTTTGTGTTATATTCACTTGCGATTTGATCAGATACTCTTTTACAATCCTTATTTGTAGTATAAAAATTTAAAAAACCATGTGTCAAATTCTACACAAGTATTAAATGATGTTCAACTGATAGTAAATGAAGATGACATGCCTGAAAAAGGTTAATGAACAAAGAGGAAAAATGATATTTTTTCTTCTGCAGTCGGATGCTGTTCGACTTCATATTATGGCTTAGAATAGGTCTTATTAAGAGTAAGACAAGTTTCAAAGGACTCGGGCAAAGGGCCTACTGAGTGCAAGGCATTGACGAAAAATCACTACAATGTCACTCTACGTCTACACTTTTGAATTTTCGTTCTATACAAACATAGCTGGGAAGTTTCCACTAGGTATTAGTCACAGAGTAAATCCGTCCTCAATGAGTTAAAATATAGGATATGGAAACAACTTTAATATTCAATTTCTCAACTTATTTATGTTATTATAAATTAGTACTACCGTGGTTATCATTATTTTCTTTGATGTATATAATTACATCAAACAATGAGTACCAGCTATAGTGCATCAACCAAGTCTAATGAAGTGAAAAACAATAAAAGATATACATGTGTTATTTAAAAGAGATTAAAATAGGAATCAAGACTGTAAAAAAAATGTTCAAGTTTAAAATAGACAAGTGTTCACTGTAGCACGAATGTTTAGTTTTGTGATATAGATTAGAATGAGAAGAAAAAGGAGTTAACTAGCACGATAGAAATCAAGAACTTACAAAAAGATAAGTTGTTGGAAATTGTCGTAAAATTTCATCGGAAGCACGCAAAGGTGACATATGTGGATGATTTGGTAATGATGCTTCACGTAATTTTCGAAGAAGATGTGCTTGACGTGAACCCATTATATCAACTGAACAAAAAAAATGAAATAGTTATATGTTCTCAATATTTAAATAAGAAGATTATATACCTAATCGAGCATGATAAATATCTTTCCCATCAAGTTGTATACTTTCAGATGTGTTTTCATCTTCAGATAGAATTTGATCTAATGATGATGTATCACTACTAATTTTACGTCGTTTTTCAGGTGCTTTATCAATATTAACTGTTGCTGAAGAAAGATCATCATTCGGTGGTTTATTATCAGACTTGATTCCAGTATATGCGGCTAGACAACGCCATAGAAAACCTGTGTTTAATAATGGATCCATAATAGCCAATAATCGAGATGGTGATAGACTAAATTAACAATGAAACTTTGTCTTCTTCTAGACTTATATTAAGCAAATAAAAAAACTACTTAAGTAGAAAAGAAAAGCTCTTACTGCTACTTTATCCTCCTGAACACATCATGCATTAAATACAAAATTTTAATAAATGGAACATTATTTTTCATGATGATTCACTTCCGTAAATAGCCAATACTTCTTAAAAAACTATCCTGAGCTAATGCTTTTGTGTTCAGATTCATACAATCTCATTTCTCAAATCAATCTTCTTATCTTTGCACATTATTCATTCCTGAAATATCTTCATTTGAGTATTTGATAGTTAAAATAATTCGAATTATTTACCTATAACAAAGAAGAAATGGTGTATAAAAACAAATAATAGCATCTGGTTTTCTTAAGCCAGCTTCAATTG